TTTAAAAGTTTATTAAGAGCTGAATATAATTTAATAGTATTTAATAGTTAAAAATTATTTCATGACTTACATGTATTTCTCTTTGTCGTATTAGATCCACGACTCTATAGTCCTTCTTTTGGATGTTAGAAAACATTGTGATGTTATTCCATTTATTTATTATGGCAGAAAATAAATTGTAGATTCCTGAAAATGAAGAAAATATATGTAACTAATGCATTAAAAAAGGCTCATAAGAAAGGCTTTATGAGAATTAAACAGTTAAAAAATAATTTAAAAAGAAAAAAAGTATTGATCAAAAAAATAAATTTTATCTTATAATATATGCAAATTGATTTAAAATCCTTCTTTTGGTCAGAGCTATTTAAAAAATATCTACATATAGCTAAAGCAATAACCAATTTTATTACGATCATTGAAATACATCGAGTACATACATATTTTAATCGCTATAACTTACTGTACAATTTTTTGTTTTATATGTAATTATTATAATTTTATTGTAATGTATTTACAGATAAAGAGCAGGATTCTATTATTACAGCTTTTAATTTTGTTACAAAATTCTGTTTAAGATTACAACAATTTTTCAGTTTATTAACATTTATAATATAACATATACTTCTTTATCAGTTTCATTAATAAAATAATGATAAATTAAATAATACAAAAAACGTATGATTACATAAAATGTTTTTCTTGGTAGCCACACAAAGATACATGCAAATAAAATTATATATAAATATATTTATGAAAATATATTGAAGAAAGATATTTAAAAATGTAAGTATTAAAACTGTAAATATATAAAAATGCGAATAAACTTACTTGTTTATTTGAAGCATGTTGCACATAAATTCCACATCACACTGACCAGCAGTTCGTGCATTTCATATAAATATTCATTCCTCATATATAATTAAAAGCACAGTATACAGCAAAAAGTATAAGAGGCTGTATAACAGCTATCACACACTCTCCATCGGAATTTATTAGAACTAAAAAGAATAATGTAGATATAGAGAAAAAGATATGGTAGCACAATGTCCGTGCGATGTGCACGCATAGCTAGTGTATATATGATGTATGTATGTACATATATATTGCTAATATAGTATAAATATATCACAGCTTCTGTATATATATTATACTAGAAAGAAGAATTATGGCTTCTGCACACAGGACGCGGAAACGCTTGCCGCGCGCCAAAAAGCGACGCAGTAGCCAATCAATTTACAACTTTTCCATTAGAGCGAAAAATTGATTGGGCGCGTTCGGCAGAGAAAGCGCTCAGTTATTGTCTTGTCA